ATTTTTCTTGGGGTTATTTTTTATTTTATTTTCCTTCCTCCTTCGTCAAGGCGGGAGTTTTCTTGGGCAGCACCGAGCACCCCGAGCCCGTCTGGCCAGGGGCTCCCCACTGCATCCCACCCTGCTGGGATGGCCTGGACTTATATTGCCTTTTTTTGAGTTTTTTTCCCCCCCATTCCTGGGAAGCAACACAGGACGAAAGTAGAAATATGCCCTATGGAGGCTGGGGGCTGCATCCCCCCCATCCCATCAGCATCTTCTCAAGGAAACCTCCCTGAAGCAACTGCTCCCGGGCCGTTCCTGGCTGCAGGATTTCTGGAGGGGAGGATTTTGGGGAGAGTTGGGATTAATTAATTCGAGCCCAGGTGGAGGAGACTTCAGCGAAGCAGCAGAACAGCTGCCACATCAAAAGAAGTGCTGGTCTCCGGGCAGGGAAACGCCTGGGCTATTTTTAACTAATTAAATAGACAATTTAGCACTGGACTGATACTCTACAAAAGAAATTCAACAGAAAAGCCCAACTGAGCTGCGTGGCTCTGATCAAACCCGTATTTTAAATCCCAGCCCATCACTTCGGGCCATGTTTCCACCTGGGGCTGAGCCCCCTGGCTGCTCCTGGTCCCTCATTTGTCCCCATGGACCAGAGCTGCCGAGGATGCTCCATCTGCTCAGTGAGACTGGGGCTACGGCTCCTCCTGGCAGGGAGAAACCCCAAAATCAGGCTCAGGGATGTTTATTCCTCAGTGGGAAAAGCCAGAAGAGACTAAATTCATAACGCTGGTGGGGAGCCCTGATACCACAGGGATGGTACCTAGCATTCCAGGGCTGAAAAAATCTGGCTTGCTGGGTCAGAATTGCAAACTCAGCTCTACTTTTTTTGGGGAAAAATTGAGTTTCGTTTCCTGCCCTTGTTGTGCAAAGGACCTTAGCCACCGTTTCTGACTCGCACAGCCCTGGCCAGCGTGGCTGTGGGCACGGGGAGCTTGAACCTGGGGGTCCTCAGCCTAATCCAGGCTGGACAGTGGGAGCCCAGGACTGTGTGTTTGCCATGGACAGGTATTTACATCCTCCTTTTTTATTTTTTTTTTTTTTTTTTTTTTTTTTTATTGCTGGACTCCCAGAAAGGCTGCACGGGATGAGGCGGCGGGTGACGAACGGTCCCAGCTCTGTGGGGACATCGCATCGCAGAGGCTGCAGAGATTTCTTGCTCCTCTCGTCTGATGGATGTGACTGGGGGGGCCGAGGGGGTGTGTGTTGGCAAAGGCCCCCAGCACATTGCAGTGTTGTCCCTTGCATCTTCTCGGGATGTACAAATTAAAAAAGAAGCTGATAATTCCATCTTTTCCTGCCTTTTTAGCCACTTTAGCAATCCCTGGTCTTATTCCCTTGTGCTCCCAGGAGATGTGCCAAATGCAATTGGAGGCATAGGGGATATACTTCAAACTGTAAATCAACATATTTACACATTGTATTTGAGTAAAAACACACCCTTATTGCTGAAAAAGATACTATTCCCTCTCTGCTGCCTTCTCTTCTCACAAATAAATGCAGCGGAGTCACTTTATCACAGAGCCACTATTACACATCGTGCTCTTACGAGCTGAGAAGTAGCAGGTGAACTTGATTCCTGTGTTTTCTTTTAGCTAAATCACCACAAATTCCTCATTCAGTTCCTAAGTACACCCATTAGGGATAAATATGGGCGGAGAGATGTACTTGGAAAATCCAGCTGTGTTGGCTTAGCTGAAAAATAACCCTTAGGATGTGGGTGCGGGTGGGAGAGGTGTGTTTTCTTTTCTTTTTCTTTTTTTTTTCCCTTCCTCGGTGGTTTATTAATATTTCTTTTATACCATTAGAGATTCAGGTCTCATCTGCTGCTTCTGAGATCATCAGGGGGAGAGAAAAAAAAAAAGAGCCCTGGGTGGCGGAGCTGGAAGGGGTTATATAGAGCGGGAGGCTCGGGGCTGCTGCAGAGCACAGCACCATGGGGCAGCTCCTACAGACCCTCTGCTTCCTCCTCCTCCTCATCACCTCCTGCCCCTGCGCCGTCATCACCGGGGTAAGTGCCGGTCCCATCCCCAACTTGGGCGATTTATTGATGATTTTTATTATTATTATTGTTATTTTGGGCAATCAGGCAGGAATCGCACTCATCCAGTGCCTTTTGCTGTTTGCTTTGGGTTTGGTTTTGGTTTTTTTTCCCCCAATTTATGACTTGTTTTCCCACACACGGATGCTGTTCCCACAGCCAGTCCCAGCCCATGTGAGTCTAAAGTCACTCGGGTGAGCTCCAATTTCTGCTGCTCTTCTCAGCACCATGGCAGACCCGGTACACTGAGAAATGGGGCACTTTAAGAAGTTTTCCAGCCAGGGAAAAAAAAAAAAATTAATCTTCATGGGCATCCCCAGAACATGTTTCCAACAGGGACAAGGGGTCGAGCATCCCAGATTGTCTTTCTCCCTCCCGAATTAAGAGAAATGACTAAAAGAGGAGAGAAATCTTGGGATGCAAAGGAGGGGTGTGATGTTTCCCTGCTGTGTTAATGTTTGGCACTTGGTGTGGCCAAGCTCAGTGACGCTGAGCAAGAGCCGGACCAAGGATGATGCTAAAAGGAAGAGGAGCAGCGAGTTTTGGGGACAGAATCCAGGTTTTTGTGATGCTTCAGGAGTCCAGATGCTAATTTCAGCCAGGCTTGGCTGACCTCCCCCCATTTTTTCCCCCCCCAGCAGTGAAAAATCTTCTGTTTAAAAGCAAGACGAAGCGTTTGCACCCCGACTGCCTCTGCCTCCCGGATTTTCCTGATCGATGGGAATTTTGTGATTGACTTCAGTTGGCTCTTGGCTCCTCTTTTCCCAGACACCCCATTTAGTCAGACCTATTCCTTCTAAGCCTCTGAGTTTTTTTTTATGGCTGGATCTCCCCAACCCCTACACGCACCCGGTTGCCTGCAGCACCCATCAGCCAGCGCTGCCCCCCCCCCCAATTTGCAGGTGAGGGTCCATCATTGCTGAGATCTGATTTTTTTAACAGCATCTGGGTGTTGCAAGGTAGTTTGGATGCTCGAGAAGAATCAGGTTCCCTTCAGGAAAGGGAAAATTCTGGAAAATCCCCTTATTGCCCCCCAAAATCCCCCTGTTCTCTCCATTGCCCTCGTGTTTTTTTCCCCAGTTGCAATTTCCGAACCTCTTCATCTGTACGAGTGATGGGCTTGTGGCTGGGAGCTCCTGGGAGAGAGGTGCCCCAAGGAGGGGGTGACCCCAGGGTGGGGGTTTGGGTGAGCCCCATCGGTTCTTCGTGCTCAACCAATCCGATATCAGGAAAACAGGTCAGGGAAGGGGTCGGGGGTGCGATGCGCTGCTCTAGTGATGGCCAACACAGCCTTGGGGGGCCAAAATGGGACCTGCTCGGTGCTTGGGGTGCCCTCGTCCAACCTCTTCTCAATGTCCTCATGGGCTTCCAGATGTGGTGATGAGCTGGTGCAACATTTGCACCTGTGCCTCAGTTTCCCCAACCCAAGGGAAAAGGTGGCCGTTTTCCATTACGCACAGAGAGGTTGGGTTGTTGGCGTTATTCTGCTCCCTACTAACAAAAAAAAAAAACCCAAACCACTGGGTATTTGTGTTATTAGCAGGTTTTACAGGCTCAGCCGGGCGATGTGTGTATGCCGGAGGATCTGGACAGTGAGTTT